GGGGCCACAGGGTGGTCGTCTCATAGCTCAAAATGCCGTGCTCCTGCGCTGTGGCATTGGCCGTCCCATTGCCCGGGCAGGCGGGCTGGTTTCCCAAAGGGCACCCACTGGAAAGGACGGAGAGCCCCAAGCGTCAGCCCTCCCGCCCACCCTCCAGTTGCCCCCCCCGTGCAGCAGCCTTGCGGGAGGGGCACGTGGGTTTGCCTGCCCTCCCTGCCCCGCCCTGGAAGCGTCCCAGTGGTGCTGAGAGGCAGAGCAGGCCCGCCTGCGCCAAGACCTGGGGGGCAGCAGCCCCAGGACCCTCCCCACTGGAAGGACCTCCCAACCACTGGGGGAGTGCTCACCAGTGGCTGCGCAGCCGTGAATACCACGCCTGCTGCTTCACGTAGAGGAAGCCAAAGACCTGGACGAGGAGGTTCAGGCACACGTTGAAGAGGACCGACAGCAGCAGCGGTGGAGAGAGGAGCCGCCCGGGGGGCCTGTAGGGGGCCAGCTTGGGGTAGGCGTGGGTCAGGCTCACTGGGGGGGAGGGGAAGAGCATTCCAGAGGTGCCCCAAGGAAAAGCAAGATCCTTCTCCGCCCCGCCACCCATCGGGGCCCCCTCCTGCCCAACGTTGCTTCAGGCAAGGGGGAGCAAGAGGCAGAGTGGCAGGCAAATGCCTGCTTGATCCCCGAGCAGAGCCATTCCTGGGGGTGCCCGTGCCCAAGAGTGATGCCAGCATCCGAACCCTGGCACTGCCTGTCCAGACGGGCTCCTTGTGGCTGAGCTCAGTCTGGGAGAGGGTCAACCTGAAGCACGCTCAGCTGTGCAAGGAAGGACTGTCAGGTGGTTTCAGACAAGACGCTCAGCTTGGCTAGGACTTTGGCGCCAACCCAGTCAGTCTGCTCAGCTTATGATTCCCAGGGCATCTCCTGGCACCCTGGCGCCTTTTGATGACTAGAGATGAGGGGAAGAGGGCTCCCACAGTGGGATCTCTGGTCTGATCATTGTGAAACAGCCTCTGGGTTTAAGAGACCCAAAGGGACCTTCCTCTGTCTCTCTCCAAGATGTGGTGTGGATGGGGGCGAGGCTCCTTTCGGCATTCGCTGGCATGTTCTGGGTCCCAAACAGTTGCAGTTACAGCACTTTTATTGGGTCTCCTTGATGGGATGTTGGGCCACTCGGTTACTTAGAATCCCTTCAGCATCTGTTACACCCAGGAGCATGGGGCTCATGCTGAATTTAGTCCTCCCACAGTAATCGTACTGTGGGAACCCAGAAAATGGGAACCCGTTTCAAGCATGTTGTATGAAGGAGCACCTGGGTGCAGAGCAGCCCTCCCTGCTCCGCCGCCTTGCCAATGTCTTGGGAAGCCCCTCCCCAAACTCGCAGCCAGCATGAGCATGCCCAGATGTGGCTGGGACAAAACAGGCAAGAACGGGGCTGCTTACTTGTTAGGCAAACAACAAGGGTGATGCAGACATCTTGAATCAGGTACTGGTAATTCCCAAAAATCTGTAATTGCTAAAAGGAAAGTGTTAATTCCAAGAAGGGTTTTACGGCCACATTCCGATTAGCATTTCATTCACAGGGATGTGCAAAGGGGCCCTGGAGCTTGCAAAAGGACCCCAAGATT